AAGGAGCAAGACGTCCCAACTTCCGCACCGACAGAGGTACCCTCAACAAATCCCACTGTGCACTATCAGGACACATTAGTTGGAAGTATGTAGCTGTTTCTTTATGAGAAATTTATGAGAAAACATCTGTTTCATTTAAATTTTAGAAGATCTGTGTGCTGACAAGCCAGACGGACCATTGAAACGCTCGAACTGCCGCTCATCGTTCTCCTTCTGCGTTCATGGTGCACTTTACACCACGAAATGCCAGTCTGGCATGTTGTTCTCATTTGTATCGCATAGGTATACTTTGCAATTGCGATCTCTAGACTATAGCAAATACCGAATGTTATAAGGTGTGAATGGGCCTCTATGTGTGACATAGTTCCGAAGAAACCAAAAGTTCAACCACTGGTGCCCACTAAACCGCCTTCAGCACCAATTAGCGCACCCTCGAATGATGTTCCAAGCGGAGCAAGTATCACAGGTTCGTGAGAAAGTTCGATTGTTACTTGCGGAATCAAAAATGATTGACTAAAGATTATGACTGCACAACACTTCCTAACGGCATTTATCCCCTTGGACCTTGCGTTGCACGTTTTGTGACATGCTCGAATGGACGCGCCTATGTTCAGTTCTGCCCTGATGGACTTGTTTACAACGCGGAAAAAGGTGATAACAATTTCTCTGCTGCTCATTGAGGAATCAAAAGTTTTGAATGTCAATTTGATTTAGGTGCTTGCGATCATGAATGCGGTAGTCAGCCGACCGTAGCTCCTACGCCTCAAGAGGGATGTCTGACGAGCCAAGCCCTAGGGCAGTGTTCATCCAAATTCAGACGCTGCCTAGATGGAAAATTTGTGTCTGGACAATGTCCTGGGCAGTCGGTGTTTGATGAATCGCTGTCATTGTGCGTATATGACTTGCCGGAGTGCAGACAAAAGGCTCCACCACCTCCACAACCAGCCGATATTCCAACATACTACCCTGTCCCCCCAACCTATCATCCTCCACCAGCGTATGCTGCTGTGACACATTATTCTCCTCCACCTCCTCCACCATATCTTCGGGACCATCCATTCCCCTTGCAGTTCCAACCTGTCGTGTCTCTGACATTCAGTGATTCTCTTTATGGAAGAGGTTTGCAGAAATAATTACTCACTTCTTTTGCTTTCCAACAGATTTGAAATCTCTTTTCAGATAAGGTAAATAAGGGAATGATACCGTTTGAGGAAAGATCCATAATTGCCGGCCACCACCGCTATCTTGTGAAAGATGTTTTTGACGGACACGCTAGTCCTTACCTCCATCGCGGCATAGATCGCATTTTCGTTCCTCATTATCATAAGAAGCGCAGGCATCGAAATCGCCACCGTGATCGCAGCAGTTGTGGCGACTCTCGCGACTCTAGCGATTGCTTCGGTGAGCAAGATCCCAATGTGCGTAAGCTATTCGGTAAGGACCCATACGATCCAGAGCTTCCAGTTCCAACTGAAGTAAGTTATCCTCATGTAGTTATTCTGAAATGTTGGTATCCGGTATTTCTCTTTTAAGGTTGGTTCGCTCACGGAGTCAACATCAAATACGCAATCGCCGGCTGTTGAGAAGGTAGTTTCGATGGTCCAAAATATGCAGCAAAATCTTTTTTTTTTCAATGAAACATGCTCGCTTGAGTGAATATTTTCAGACAAACGAGAGCATCAACACTACCTCTTTACTTATAACTGATGTGAAAGGGGACAGTCCTAGCTCTGAAATAGATCGTATAAATGAGAAAGAGAAAAGCATCGCAATAAATGATACTGAAGAAGAAGCGGAATATGAAGAAAAAGAAGGTGACGAAAGTGCCGAGGTAGCAAAGGTTGCATGAATTTTAAGGTCGCAAATGACTTCTAGGTTTCTTCATTATGCACTTGTAGGGATCGGGTGCTCTCATGAGTCGCAGAAAACGAAGCTATCCGACAAGTTCACATAAGTCGACGCAGGATTTCTCAATGTGTACCAAAGAGCAAGCCCCAGGCATTGTTTCATTGGGATTCTGTCGTCAAGACTTCATCTTCTGTAAAGCAGTTGGTGCTGGTGTGGTGCGTTCTTGGCT